TTTTAAAAAAAAAAAAAAAAAACCTCTCACTAATTGATAAATGTAGAGAAGGAAAGAAAGCGAAAGAAGGACTGACAGAGGTATTCCCAAACTAATTAAAGAGAAAGTGAAATGCCTTATCGTTGATTTTAGCAATTTACCTTTTAGACCGTCGTTTGGAATGACGCTGCAGGTTTCTTTGGAAAAAGATATGTCATCCAGTCCTAGCAAAATTCGTTCGGGAGACTGTAAAGTTCCTTCAAACAAGACCTGCGGATAACAACAAAGGGAACTGTGGCAAAACAGCCAGAGGTTTAGTAGTTGACTTATCTAGCCGGCGGGATTGGTCTGTTTGTTAATGTTGCATGCGTTCTTCCCGATAGAGCGTGTTTTTGCCCAGCTGACGCTCCTCTTCGAGTAGTACCAGCCTTGCCGAGATAGGTTAATCCAGGTCAAAGTTCACTGCATGACGAAACAGCTGCTAAGACAACCGATGAAGAAGTTGTCGTTTAATTCTTCATCCCAGGCTTGGCTGTATAGAAGATCTTGTGCCCAGTCTCCTAGCGCGATCTCACCTGGTCGATAGTGAAAACTCTTACAAAGCACCAGGCTTGCTTTTAAGCAGCTACGTAGCAGGTTCTTGATCGTTAACTGACGCTTTCAAGCCTGCGTCACTTGGCTCAGACGACAGACTTGGAAAACTATTTCACGGCTTAACGTTAGTTATAATATTCGGTGCTTGCCATTTATATGATAAGATGACACATCAACATAGCCTCAATCCCTTCTTGCATATTAAACAGCCTCTGACTTTTTCAAAGCATTGAAATGAATCAAGACTTAAAGATAGAATTTTGGATATGAGTTATATGGCTTGTGTTATAAGACATCGTTTTTATCCTGTGCCATCATTTCCTCACCTTAAAAGAAGTGAAGTTTTGGATGAGAGGAAGCTGTACATACACCCAGCGGTTTGATCTATAAGCCGTGGACCACAGGGTTATGACGTCACTATTGTTTTCAGGATGATGAATCGAGACCTTCAGTTCAACAAACTCGTCGTTAAAATGCGATCTTTCTTCTTCGCCAGTTAAATACCAGAATCTTAAACACTGCCATCCATGTTCTCGCTGAAGGAGTTTGGTCGTCAACGTTTTGCTGATTGGGTATGCGTTTTCCGTTTTAAAGTAAAGAGGATGTCCTGTAAAAGTACATGATAATCGTCAGCCTTACAATTCAGAAACGGCCTCCTTATCAATCACATCGCATGTTAATGAAGGATGATGTTTATTTGGTCATGCAACAAATGGTTTGGTGTTAATTTTTACCTCGCACATATCCTTTCCCTGACACCTGATTTTAGCACTGAGTATCATTGTCAGCTTTTTCATACTTTCTATTATTTTTTGTTACTCCAGAAAGAACCGCAATTGGAGAAGATAAGATGTCTCCTCTTTACCGCTCTGTTCTCATTCTTTCGTTATCATCGGATATTGCGCTTAAATCAGGACCGAAATCAATTACCTTTACCCTTTGGCACAAAGTGAAAAAGGTGGAACTTCCCTCTTTTCTTAACACTCACCCACATATCACAAATGTTTGAAAGCACAAGCAAATTGTCCTTACTATTTTCTTTAAAAATCTTTGTCTCCCAGTCTTCCTCATCAGCCCAACCACATGATCCATCTTCAAAGTAACAGTCCGGGCTTTCTGGGAACGGAAGAGAATAGAAAAAAAAAAAGGTTCACTAGAGTGAACATTATGGCTGTCAGAATGATTGCTGAGGTGTTATACAGGTACATTGGCAAGTCAAATAAATACGGAATCATAATAAGGTGCAATTCCGAAAAACAGAATCGCTTTTCTTTATGTTTGTGTCCTTTTTTAATGAAAGCTATTTAGGCCCACGTGCACACTTTAGAAACAGGACTGGAGTCAGCCCTACCAGTTCCCTAAGATCTTTATTCCTGTGAAAACCCACAACAACAAATTTTGGCAATATTACAGAAAAATAATTTCTAATAAGTGGGATTTAAGTCGTCACGTACACCAGGACTCGTTACAAGAGTAAAAAAGATACAGTCAGTGCCTTTATACCAAAGTTCGTTATACCGGAGAACCACTACTGCCAATTGCACTTATTCGTATGATTCTGAGCTTCTTAGATGTTTATTTTCAGCGTTCACGTCGAAGAGAATATTTCCTTACCCTGTTTGACGATCTTAGAGCAGTTCCCATCCAGAACAGTGACGTCATCAATAGCTATATCTCCTGAACTTCCGCCCTCTATGACGCCTTCTATGACAAACTATGGCAAAACATTTTACTTTATTTTTTTTCCAACGATATTCTTGTGAGGGCTCACCTTGACTAATGAACAGTCGTGGGTTCTACACCAACCTTAATGGGTTTAGTGCTCGGCTACTAGTAAGATGAGCGGCGCCACAGAATACGGATTCCGTCTTTATTGGTTTGGCACTCTATCAAGGACAGTCGTGAACTAACTACGACAGAAACGTGCTCTTGAATACCCAATCGATTACTATGTGTGGGAACACGGCTGAATAACCTAGGCATGTCCGAATGGCACGGGTGTTGAATTACAGGTATCCAGTTTCAATTTATATCTGCAATTGTAAGGCCACGGAATCGCGCGCCAATTGAATGGCAAATAAGCGCCCGTAGAAACAATCAGAATCGAGATATTTTATTACAGATGAGATTATCATAACGCACCACCGGGGTCAAATAACATTCTCCTGGCAGTATGTGTTACCTGAAATTGCTTTTCATGATGTCTTGGATTCATAGGAACTTGTGCAAATATCCAGTTGTCTCCCATGTGCCCCTTTTGACTCCACACCTTTGTTTCAGACCCACTTGCATTTCTTTGTATGTAAATGTTCAGAGATCCTACATCTTTTCCAAACATATGGTACCAGAACTGTAGACAAAGCTCTTGTGTGTTTATAAACCAGCCACTTTGTAATCTGGCCTTGTCGCCAACTTTTCTGTTGGACGCTTCAATATATAGATAACGACCTAACGGAAAATATCAATGATGAGAAACATCGGCCGAATTCATACTAGAAACGGGAAATTCGTGTTATACGAGTTCTCTGTCTGTGACGAGTTGCTAGCGTGAAAACGGGACGGGACGGGGTTTTAAGGGAAAAGAGTCCAACGTTACTCGTCTACGTGTCCATCTGAGTCGACAAGACTGGCTCCTAGACGAGAAACCCGTGAAGACCCATCAAAATTCACTTTCAGGTGGTTTTCTAGTCGATTTGTCTCAAAGCGCTTCAGGATAACACGTCTTAGTGTGAATTTAGTAAGATACGATTAGTCGGGTTTGGCGTCACGAATTCACCGTGCACCAGGACGGAAAACTCGTCAGACTATTACCCGTCCACTTTGGTTTCTTGTATTGTAAAGACGGTTGTAAAGTCGATTTTTCTAGAGGAGCACCGAACTGCCTAATGTCTTTCTAATGTCCCACTTCGTGCTACCCGTTAACTGAGCTCATAATCCAAGACAGTTCCCTCTCCCAGGGAAAATGACAAAATGGCTTGGGTGACAATTAATGATTCTATCTGAAGATTAGTATTTGAAGAGTTATAGTGAAGCCGTTTGATCAGTTTCATTCCTTTATAAATTTGTCTTTCCTTTTTCAGAAGGCGTATTGAGTGACATAATCTGTAAATAACCTCTCAGAATAAAGATTTCCGCGAACCCCTAAAAGCCCCTGAGAACCTGTGGCCACTTTAAGATTTCATAGAGAGCGAAGTGCCAAATATTTTTTCAGAGTTTCAAACTGAACGATTGCAACAAATTACCTCGGTTTGATAAAGTCGTATGGTCAAAGGAAGGTCCCGTGTTTTCTGAAGGTGCCTGTCCCATGTCGGTTGTCCACTGAAATTCACTGTTGACATCATTCCGTAATCCACATAATCCATTTTGGAAATCGCATGGTCCTGAAACAATAATAATACTCATTTCCGAAAAGAGTGCAGAAGCAGAAAATATCCAATTTAGTTCAGTCAACCGAATTCTGGTTGATTTCAATGCCGGTTATTTGTGATTTATGGGATGCCAGTTCTTGGACGGCAAGATTGGAACCTCTGACCATTAGCCCAGAGAACAATCAACTTTAAGATGCAGGATTTCCATGACTTGTGAATTGAGAAAATTTAAAAAACGCAAAAATTTAAAAACAACGTTTTTAGAATAAACTAAGTTGAAGATCTGTGGCATTTATCGTAATACGTGCAACACGCATGGTTTGTCCGTGATGGAAGCAAAAAAGGGTAGGATTTAACCTACAGAGCACACTTTAAAAACTCTTATTGATAACAGTAATAATAATTAATAAGAGTTTTTAAGTGTGTATAAGTGTCCTGGTTTGAGCGAAAAAATAAATTTCATTCATTGTGTGAAAAATCCTACCTCGAAAAGGAATCTGGCAAGTGTTTTCCTTGTCTTCAGTTCTGCTTCCTCTTTCTTTTGAGCAAGATAAGTCATTCAGAGGACATTCCGTCTTTCCTGTACAGAAAAGGTTGGTTAACGTTCTTGAATGCTGGTGGGATTGTTTGAAGAAGCTGCACCGACAGCCACCACTAAAAAATTATATGCAATCCTCCAACAGTTGCATATGTAGGATGGGCCGCATTCTTTGGACATTTCGTCTCAAGAAAAGCTGATCAACCTTCAGAACAGCAGGGTTTGTTTTGCAAGTGCAACAGTTTAATGCATTTGTTTTCTGCCATTGACCCCACCAATAAAGGCTGCACCATCTCATTTCATCCTGTCACCCTTTCATCCTGCTAACCTTAAGTGGGCCTTACCATAACGAACTTTATTTAACGTGGAAACACTTGAATACTTAGTTTTTGGTCTATCTCACAAGGTGCACCGGCTAATTTCCAGGCATAACTAGATCTATATTCTCCCTCAAGATAGTCGGCCATTTTAGCTCTTGGTAGCGATATTTCGACCCCGTGCCATGTTTTTAAGTTCAACAGTTCTACGCATATTTGTGCACTGAATCGTTTTTGCATAACGTTAAGATATACTAGATATTCAAGTCAGTCAATTACAGAAAGCAGGAAATCATTAAAAATATAAACGCAATGAATCTCACCACATATGGAAGGAAGATGGGTACCATCATGACATCCTTCTGCTTTCTTGCAGGTTTGCGACCAAGAGATTGACTCTCCATCAAAGCAGAGAAATTCATTCTTCGGGTTTTCTTAAATCAAACCATGCAAATTTAGCGGAGGCCATTCGTTAGACTGGTATAACATTCACATGTCATTGGCATGATATGTACATTTTATTGACAAACGTTGTCATGGAGATATCGTAATGTATATTTTTATAGTCGTTTTGTTTGTCTTTATTTGTCTCTTTTGCATACTTATGTTGAGCAAGCAAATAGGATAACACAATAAACCAATAAACTCTCAAATATGCCGCAGCAACAACCCTATAACACACGAATATACCGGGGAGAACACACCGTCAACAAAACATGAACTGATAAATAAGTCAATATTATAAATATCTGTTTTTGAAACCCCGGTTGTCATCCAACGGCCGAAGTTATCTCTGTCGGACAAAGGTGGTAACCAAATATCAGATGGCCAGTAAGTAATTATGTGGTAAACGCACAAACACAAACATAAATTATTTCCAGCCTATAACCATGGATTGTGGTAGAATATCATTTTTTTTACCCTGTCCTTCCTTTTCATCTTCTCCATCTTGGCAGTTCTTTTCGCCATCTCGTAGTTTCTCTGGGGACAGGCATTCACCTGATGAACACGAAAACTGACTGTTCAGACATCTGCAGCTGCTCTCGTCCGATCCGTCAACACAGTGTGACTGGCCATCACATTTCTGTATACTTTTAACACACTGCAAGTTGTCACACCTAAATTCTTCCTTGCTACAACTATACCCTGTGAAAAAA